TTTACACTCTTTCATTCAATTTCTTCTTACTTAACAAGTTTCACTGCCATCGTGAGATATTAGGGTGCCACTCTCAAGACCACAAGGCTCATTATGACAAAAAGAATCTATACATCTCTACTTCCAGGCCACTGCTGTTCCCATTATGTCATGTTAGTATTAGGACAATCTTTTTTGGACAATAATTCCTGAATTCAGATCCTTTTATTTTGAGTCAAATATTTTTTTAAAAATTAGGTGTGGCTTTAATGAAGCTAAAGTTAGAAAAATAAAACTATATTAGATGGTAATGTATAATCACTGCAGTATTTCAGTTCTGCATCTGCCATCACATGAGTTCATTTGTTGATAAGGAAATACTGACAGGGCAAAACATTAGGAAAACTCTAGTGCTAACCAGCTAGCACAGGTATCTTTTTCACAGATAAAGCAACAAGTTTTGAAAGACATTTGAATGACATTTGAATGAGCTTATTTGTGAAAAGAGGCGGCCGTTTAGATTTCAATATACATTATGAGTTTTTTTTTTTTTTCCCAAGATAGTGCTTCTGTTTAAGACGCTGTTCGATTTGCATTTCTGACAAGAAAATTTTTTTGAGTGGGTCCAATTCAAGTTGGAGAATCATTTACATGAAAAATTTCATTTGACTAAGAAATGTGGCCAGCTGAAAGAATATAAATGTAGCTTTAATCACATATTGAGGAAAGGACAAAACCGCACGGATACTAATTGCTTTGGTTTATAAAGATGCTAATGCTCATTGAAATCCTTTTCAAGAGAGGACAATTGAATGGACTCTTTTTGGGACTTTGTAGGACAATTATTCCCATATTATACTTTTATGTAGCTTTTCTTCATGGAAAAAATAAATACATTTGCCTGCTGAATAGTTTTTGCTGATTCTTAGAATAAAACCGAAAATATTGTGGTTTTAGAGGGAGTGAAATTATACTGTAAATTAAAGTCATGCAGAGTCGATGCCTCTGTGTGTATGTGCAGTGTTAAAATATACATAAAATTAAATATCCCATTTTAATAATGTTTAAGTGTACCATTCTGTGACATTGCGTACATGCACATTGTTGTACAATCATTACTGCCATCTGCCTCTAGAACTTTTTCATTTTCCCCAACTGAAACTCTGTACCCGTCAAACACTAAGCCCGTGTATTTCTCCCAGCTTCTGGCAACCACCATTCTATCTGTCTCTATGAATTTGACTACTCAAGGAACCTCATACAAGCGAAAACATGCAGTGTTTGTCCTTTTCTAACAGGTTTATTTCACTTGGCATGTCATCAGGGTTCATCCATGTTATCACGTGTGTCAGAATTTGTCTACCTTTTTAAGGCTGGATCACGTATGTCGGCCGGGCGTGGTGGCTCACACCTGTAATCCCAGCACTTTGGGAGGCCGAGGTGGGAGGATCACCTGAGGTCAGGAGTTCGAGACCAGCCTGGACAATATGGTAAAACCCTGTCTCTACTAAAAATACAAAAATTAGCTGGGTGTAGTGGTGCATGCTTGTAATCCCAGCTACTTAGGAGGCTGAGACAGGAGAATAACTTGAACCCAGGAGATGGAGGTTGCAGTGAGCTGAGATGGCGTCATTGCACTCCAGCCTGGGCGACAGAGAAAGACTCCGTCTCAGGAAAAAAATACATGTATGTGTACATATATGCATATGTACATATATACGTGTATTTGTATATAAATTGTTATATATGTTATATATAATTTATATATAAATTTAAGAGTTATATATAATTTATATATAAATTTAAGATTTATATATAAATATTAAACTTATATGTATAAATTATGTATAATTTAATATTTGTATAAAAATTATATTAAATTACATATAATTTAAATATAAATACATGTATATATGTACATATATTATATATATAATATATAACATCTCTGTAATAATACATTTGGTTCAACATTAATGTATTATATGAAGCACATTTTGTTCACCCATTCGTTCCTCAATGGACACTTGGGTTGTTTCTACCTTTTGTCCATTAGATTGTTTCGATCTTTTGCCCATTTTGAATAATCTTATGTAACCGTAAGTAGAATTGCTGAATCATATGAATATTTTGAGGAATCACCAAATCGCTTTCACTGTGATTTTGATTTGCTTTGCCTTAATAAGTAGTGACATTGAATATCTTTTCATGTGTGTGTTGGTCATTTGTGTATCTTCTTTGGATAAACGTCTATTTAAGTCCTTTTGCTCAGTTTTAAAAATCTGATTGTGTTTTGTTATTGTTGACCATGCCTGTAGATGAGGAAATAAATACTGGGAAAGAATCCAATTTTACAAATAGATAAGAATGACATCTTAACAGCCAAGTTTTCTCAATATTTAGAAATTGATCTAATGTAATATGAATTATACTTTCTAAGGGAAAATTTATAGATGAGTACTGAATATTCCCTGTATTCAGTACAATGCAGCAGTTTTCAATGACCAACTGATATTACAAATGATATAACTATTTTGAATAAATATCTGGAAAAAGCAGGAGCAGGGATGAGTTCCAAACAAATCTGTGTGCCATGGAAATTTTACTTTACAGTTTAGTTCATTAATATATTCATGAAAAATGTTGGCTGGTTGCAGTAGCTCTCACCTGTAATCCCAGCACTTTGGGAGGGCGAGGTGGGTGGATCACCTGAGGTCAGGAATTCGAAGCCAGCCTGGCCAACGTAGCAAAACCCCATCTTTCCTAACAATACAAAAATTAGCCAGGCATGGTGGCAGGTGCCTACAATCCCAGCTACTCAGGAGGCTGAGGCAGAAGAATCACTTGAACCCAGGAGGTGGAGGTTGCAGTGAGCCAAGACTGGGCCACCATACTCCAGCCTGGGTGACAATATGAAACTCCATCTGAAAAAAAAAAAGTTTAACTTCCAGAACTTTCGCCTGCCCAAATGGCACCTGCTTCATGACTTTGCATCATTTATGAACACCTTTCAGATTGTTATTCAAAGTCTCTTCGGATATGAATTTGATGTATTTCTCATTTTAACATTAAAGCATAGAAACAGTTTCAACATCACGAAAGTCTTTTTTTATTTGAAAAATTGAAGTTTTAAGTGTTAAATTAATTTCTTTGAAAAAAATGAAAATATCAATAAAACTACATTGTATAGTTTGCTCCAGTTACAAGTCTGGAGATAATCAAGTAGTTCATTCTGGAGTCTTTGTAACTTTCATTTTGTATTAAGGAAAATGTTACCTGGTTGTTATTATCTTATTAAAAATTAAACTACTTCAATTTGAATTGTAACTAAAAATGTTATTAAGTCAATGAGTGACTCACATGCTAAGCTTGTCCAATATTTGGCCTGCGAATGAGACATCTGGGAAAGGTAAATTCTACTTTAGAGGGCATCTATGTAGAAGGCTGTCTTTTTTAATAATTTATTCTTATTGTTATCTCTATTATTATTCTCCATTTGAAAAATAATTTTCACATTGTATAAATCAGTCTTAGTGATTTGTGCGTTGGTATTTTTGTGCGTTGGTAATTTGTGCGTTGGTATTTTTGCCACTCAGATTTTCGAAAGCTATTTAACTGATGTGTAGAAGACTAGGTGCTCGCAAACCAGACGTTCCCGATAAGTCCTGCTCTTGCAAACGAAGCAGGGCATTGGGGGCTTGTTTATGTGTAAGCATCTTGAAAATCCGGAAAGTCAGGGAAAGGTCAGAAAAACAACAATGTGTCTTGTGACTTGGCAACATTCCACAAAGGACTGTATAAAATAAAGCAGAGCACGCCATTCGAGGCGGCCGCCATGTTTGTCTTGTCTTGTGTTGTCTTGTGTGTTCATTCCTTTGTTTAGGAAACACACGGACCCCAACACTGATGGAAGTCGGCTTGTTCATCTGTAAGATTCTGATGAGTATTATAAAACATTTAGATACAAGCAAAATCTAAACATACATTTTAAGACGACTTTGTTTGTAGCTGGAATAAGTATATCATCCTATAGCATGTAATATACAACCTGTTTTTACTGCTTTATTTATAACCTTCAGTCGTGTTCAAATTGTATATGGCAACTATACTTACTGTAGTGATTAGAAAAATAAAAACAAAAAGAATAATCTTACCCATCTCATCTTATTCAAATGTTAAGTACAGTAGATCATATCCCAAGAACAGAATACATAGGAAATCTAAGAATGGATATATATACATATATGTATGCAAGCCAAAATTTTTTGAGAATAGGGGTTTCCAGGGGTATAAGAGCAGCAGTATTAAATCTTTTCATTACAGATACCTTGCCAGTGTAGCAACTACACTTTCCTTTGCTTTCACTTTCTCGATAGGGATTTGATTGAGATAGAATTTGCTTTTCAACTCAGCTCTTGCAGCTCAAAACTTCTGCTGTAATTGCTACCTTAACACCCTGCTGAGAATCTTCATTAACTGTTACCCAGAGGAGATATAAAAGACCTGACAACTTTAGAAGTGAAGTGATGAATATCTCAGAGTTTAAAATAATCTCTGAATATGATGCCATTTTGAGAATGTTGCAATAGAAGTACGTGGAGGAAGGTGGAGGAAAAAATGAAGGCAAAATTGGCTCTATTATAGTCAGGCTTCAGAATATTTTAAATTACAAATGAATGAGTAATTTTAATAATGGCTAATGTGTACTGAATGGTCATTATTGGCTAGTCATTGCAGTAAGAGCTTTAGATGCGTTAGTTTATTTAACACCTTCTAGAAGCTTGCTGGTGAGTAATCCAACTTCGGTAAATTAAATAGCTTTTAAAACACATAAATAATAATGCTTTGAAATTAAAAGAGAATATAATGCTTGCCTAGGAAAAAAATTTCAGTATGTTATTCAGTACTTTTGGAAGTAATTATTTCAGGAAAGCTAACCATGAGCTAAATTCCTAGGATGTGAAATTTGCATTTTAAATTTGTCCAGGCAGTGTCTTTAAATTTTAAAGTGAGATACTCACTGTTGCATAATGGTTCATCATCACTATTGTGGGATCTGGCCAGCAGCCCACAGTGCAACGGGGCTCTCTCTTTGTTCCCAGGCAGATCGGCAGGTCGAGAAATAATAGACACACACAAGATAGTGAAAGCTGGGTCCGGGGGAGTCACCGCCTTCTGGTCCCATGGTGCCGCCAATGCACTGGATATACCAGCATTTATTATTAAGTTTAATGAGGGCGGGGGTAGGTTAGTGAGGGATTTAGGGTCGTTTGATTATGAGGTGAGATGGTCACATGGGGATGAAGTAATTCTTTAACATAACATCTGTATGCAGAAGTACAATATACAGAGATAAGAATTTATAAAATATTATGTGCATCAGTAATTTGTAACAGAGCCTCAAAACAGAAACACAGTCTTTCCATAACCTATAATTATACAGATATTAATCAGCAGTAACAGTTGCAGCAAAAGCTGGTTACAAACAATCCATAGAAACAGGACGTGAAGCTAGACAATGGATTAGACCAGAAATTCTCAGAAGGGAGTATGACTTAATTCTAAAGAGGCCTAGAAGAGCGGTGGCAAGATGAGGGCAATTATAGCCCTACCTTATCCGTATGAACTGGTGCCCCCATGCGTCCATTTATAGACCCTGCACAAGGGTCGCATTCCATTCCCAGAGCTATGAACATCTGCTTTTCTGGAATAGGAATCTTGGTGATGTGAAACCTCCCTGACTGCACGTCCATTCATAGGCTCTCTGCAGGGGGAAGCACATTACACGCTGTTGGCTCATTCTGGGAGCCCAACCTGGCATTGTCTTTACACAATCTTGCATGCAATTTTGTATTTACTATAATCAGGAGCATTTCATCTTTTATTCCGTAGCAATAGTTTCAGGGGGTCTCCCTACACATCACCTTCTTGCAAACCTAAAATACATTCATTATAGATAACTCTAGATGATTGATTTATTAAAATAATCATTAGAGAAATTATATTATTACAGTATTAGGTTCATGTGCAAAGAGGTACATCCTGTGCTTTGCTTAAATATTCTTACATATTTCTTAGTTTGCTTTTCATGAAAAAAAATTGACAGGAAGAAATCCAGGAAGAGTAGTGGACTCCAGTAACAATGGCAAAATAAAACAGCTAAATGAAGTTGACGACATCCCATTAAGACCTAAGCTGTTACAAGTTAACCAATACTGCTAGTCTAGAAAAACATAATTCCAGTTTTTCTTTCCATGTTGCTAATGTAGGAAATAATATTTTGTGCAAATATTAGCTCCTTTATCCAAATCAAAATTATATGGTTTTATTTACAATATAATGTTTTCATTTAGTATAGATTATTAGAATCACTACTGCTAATCCCAAGAATAAGATTTATTTTAGGAACTTGAGATATTCAAATTTTCTAAAATCTGACTTAAATGATGAATCTAGGCAACTATATATTCTACTGTTACCATTTGTTATTTTAAGCGTTAACTGTATCTTGTATTTACAGCGTCATATTTTATTGACATTCATTAGACTGTTATATCTAGCTTTATTAGAGTTAATCTGACTTAAAAATTAGAAAATTACAAAAAGTAAATATTGTGCAAGTTTTTTTCCAGATTACCTTAAAAATTGTATTATTAAATTCAATTTTAATCCAAGTTCATAGCATTTTGACATAGTTAAATTATTAGACTAAATATATTGCTTTCTAGATTTATATTACCAAAAATTAAATGTGGTTTATGACTTAGAGTCTTAAAGTAATTTAATTGTCCTATTTTTATTGGTAAAAAAAATACATTTATTTAGTGATGATGGAACTTTTGACAGAATTATAAGGGTTCACATTTTTGTTTTTGTTTTTAATCAAAATATTGATTTATATGTTTGATTTCTTTGTGACATAGTCACTTGGATGCGCTATTCCAGGATACCATATATTGGGTGTTTAAACAACAAACATTTATTTCTGGGAAATACAAGATCAATGTACTAGCAGATCTGGTGGTCCAGCTGGTTTTCTTCTTGTATCCTCATATGGCACAAAGAGAGAGCACTCTGGTCTCTTCGTTCCCTTATAAAAACACTAATCCCAGCATAGGGGCTTCACCTCTATGATCCCATTTAGACCCCCAGTTACCTTCCAATGGCCCCATCTCCAAACCTTACCACACTGGGGATTAAGGGTTCAATGCATGCGTTCTGGGAAGACAGCAATTTTCAGTTCAGTCCATAGCAATTTGTTTCTAATTTCATCTACTGAAGGTCGTACCTTTAAAGTCTTCAGTTGAGCACCAATCTCCTTTTTCTGTTTCCTTGTCCTTTCTCCATTTTGTTCAATCCCTAGTGTTGATTGGGGAAGCGCACTTCTGACGCAGGGCTGAAGACAGACAGAGTTTGTATATTACGATGAACAACTTTTCTGATATCATAAAAAATGCACTAATCAACAGCTACAAAAAGTTACACGTTAAATACTTTGAAAATTGCACTCAACAATCCCCCAAAAATTAATGTAAAGGGAATATTTTTTAATCCATTCGCACTTTAACTCAGCAAAGCTTATGAACAGATACATTAAATACACTTCAAAAACAGCATTACATTTTTCTATGATTCAAATATGGACATTTTCAGATAAACTTACCTTTTTGAGAATAGTGAGCTCTATTCAAAACAGCAGGACCCATTAAAAAGTGACAAATCTGTATGATTCAAATGGAAATCAGTTAAATTAAAATTATAATAAACTTCAGTTATTCATTAGTTATAAAAAATTTATTACCTACTGAGTTATTGTGGTCTGATAATTTGGTTTATTGGCATTTAAACAAACATACAACTCATGATTTGAACGGAAGTTTATGTATTGTATTTTATTCACTTAATCAATTAAATAGTAAAGTATAATTTCCTCAAGCTTGGAAAGAAAACATAATACTTATAAATATTTTTATGAGTTATTATAAATAAATACAGATTGCACTATAACACCAACAATTATAAATATTTGTATGAATTTTTGGAAATAGAGGCTACACGATAACATCAACCTCCAACTGAGCTTGCCTCTCTCTCAAACTTTTTAGTACAGTATATTCTCTACTAGTCATATAAGAACAAAATCAACAAACAACCAATAAAACTATCCAGTTTATTGTTTTATGAAAGAGAAACTCAAATAACTGGGCAAAACTTTTTGAGATATTATGGAATAGAAATAATACTGGAAAGATACTTTCCTACTTATATCCACAATGTATGCATTTTCTCATTTTAACCTATAACACACTTATGATTTCTTTCCATTACCTAAAGAACCTATTATCTTGTTACTATGATAAAAATATAAAGTGGACATGATATTTTGATTTTAGCAACTTCAAAATGCTTTTAGTACACTTATCCATGTCAAACTTCTAATAGCCTATAAATCATGACTAATAAATTATGTTAGTATTATATAAAATTACACCTACTCTTTTGAAAATGTGGTTATTATAAAATTTTGTAGTTAAATTGTCAAAGATAGCTGTAGTTTACCTTTCTGAATATAAATTTTGTGTTTCCTTGCTTAAGTTTTTGACCTTTCTCTTTTATTTAATACACTTGAGTGGAAATAGATATAATTCAAAATGATATAAATCCTGGCATCATTCAGTTATTTAAATTTTAGGTAAAAGATTCTGCATGTAAAATTTCCTGACTTCCATCTGTCTTTTTTTCTTTTTTTCTTTTTTTTTTTTTGAGACAGAGTCTCACTCTTGTTGCCCAGGCTGGAGTGCAATGGTATGATCTTGATACACGGCAACCTCTGCCTCCCAGGTTCAAGCAAATCTCCTCCCTCAGCCTCCCGCATACCTGGGATTACAGGCGCACCCGCCACCATGCCTGGCTAATTTTTTTGTATTTTTAGTAGAGACAGAGTTTCACCATGTTGGCCAGGCTGGTCTTGAACTCCTGACTTTAGGTGATCCACCCGCCTAGGCCTCCCAAAGTGCTGGGATTACAGGTGTGAGCCACCTCTCCCAGACCCATCTGCCCTTTTATATTATCTTATTACATTTAAATTTAGTATAATTTTATATTCATATGTAAAATACATTCTTTTTTGAGAAAGCACTTATGATATACAGTTCTATTCAAAAGACTAATGATGATAATTGGAAATAACCATTGATTCCAGGTAACAGAAAGGAGCATACTCTTGTATCACTTAATAAGAACCAAAATTATTGGGGATGATAAGATAAAGCAAGTGCCTATTTTTATTGTATAGATAGAGTCACCCTGGATTTTGCTGGTGTCAGTCATCAAACATTTCTGTAATACACTAAACTTTCAGTGTATACTCTTTTTTCTTTAATGTAACTACTTTTTCACTCTGCAGTGAAGCAAATAACAAGCCTTACACAGTAGTTGCCAGTTTAATAATTAAACAAATGTATTAAGGTAGAAATACTCCTGTGTCTCATATTTTCATTTAATAACTGTCAAGAAACTATGATGGTGATGTGATTTAAAATTTATGCACAAACATCCCTGAAGATTATGATAAGTTCTAAAAATTAGTGAGTTATATTGCAGAATCTGGCCAGCAGCCTGCAATGCAACAGGGCTCACTCTTTGTTTCCAGGTGGATCGGCAGGTTGAGAAATAAAAGACACACATGAGATAGTGAAAGCTGGGTCCAAGGGGTTGACTGCCTTCTGGTCCTGCGATGCCGCCAATGCACTGGATATACCAGCATTTATTATTAGGTTTAGTGAGAGCGGGGGTAGGTTAGTGAGGGACTTAGGGTCATTTGATTATGAGGTGAGATGGTCACATGGGGATGAAGTAATTCTTTAATGTAACATCGGTATGCAGAAGTATAGCACACAGAGATGGGAATTTACAATATAGTGCGTGCATCAGCAATTTTTAGCAAAGCCTTAAAACAGAAACACAGTCTATCCATAACTTATGTTTAGCAAGATATTAATCAGCAGTAACAGTTGCAACAAAAGCTGGTTGCAAACAGTCAATAGAAACAGGATGTGAAACCAGACAACGGATTAGACCACAGATTCTTAGAAAGGAGTATGCCTTAACCCTAAAGAGACCTAGAAGAGCCGTGGCAAGATAAGGGCGTTTATAACCCCATGTTATCCATGCGAACAGGCACCACTCATACATTCGTTTATAGGC